AAAAAGTTAATTAACGCCATATGTGATTTTTCCATTAATGACATGTTTGACATTTCAAGATTAGCTTACTTGACTCAACAATCAATTTGTGTACAATTTCCTCTTACTATAAATATGGCCAATAATTTGAAGAATTTGAAGTCGACACAAATTATTAAGAAATAATAGAGAGAGAAAAATGAAAGAAGTCGAGAGGAATGAAGGAGGAGACTTCCCCAGAGATCGATAAAATTATGAAATCGTGTGGCCATGTCTTGTTATTTTCTAAGTTTATATTGTTAGAGACGAGAAATTTAATTATCTATATTTAAATTATCAACAAAAACTTCTACTTAAAGACAACCAGTTATAAATCTTTAAGGTCTATTCAAATAGAAAAATGCTATTTGTACATTAGGGGGTACATAAGGGTGTCCATAATGGACACTCGGCACCTCACCATTGAATGAAGTGCCGGCCCCACCTACACTTCATCCAATGAGGAGGTGCCGGGTGTCCATTATGGACACCTTTATGTACATCCCGATGTACTTGTAGCACCTCCCATTCAAATAATTGATTGGTACACATTGTTTTGGTTAATAAATAGGTAATATATATAGGGATAAGGATTACAAATACCTTTACTATTTATAAAGTTTAATGTTTTGATGATTCAACCATTAAAAACAAACATGATTCAAGATTTGACCATTTCATTATGGAATTCTCCGGAGTCCCACTTATCACAGCTTAGTGGACAATTTATTTTGTATCAGATATTTATTATAGACAAGAATTGAAATGGTCACCGAATGAAAGTTTAAGCATATAATTAAAAAATAAAAAATAATTGGTGAAAAAGTATACTATGCCTCTATTTGAGTCACATTAAAATTTTCATTTTTAAACCAAAACAACTTATTGAAAATTTGACAAAGTAACAGTAATGATACCAAATGAAATTGAATGTGAAAGCAATGCCAAAAAGAAATTTATGCAAAATCGAGACAAGATTGAACTCTTTATCCTTAAGTCGAATTTGTACTGCAACGATACCTACAGATGATGGCAATCAATTCCAAAGTTACAACGACAATCTTATTTTGTTAGTAGCACTTCAAAACACAAGAACAACAAATCGAAGTTTGATTTTTGTAAATGAAATTGGAAAAAAGAGCTTTTAATGCAGAATTTAAGCTAGGAAAATATGAATTTAGTGTTATGTTATGATTGCATATCATTAGAATGAACAAATGGATGTCCCAAGTATTTAATTTATAGAGGAGGAAAGGTTGTGAGTGAAGTAACGTGCTCCAAACTCAACAACCTTTGCCAAGGGTCACAGCTTTTGTTGTCGCTAACTTGTTGCCCTTGCATTACTTGAGCGTCAGAAACAAAGACTCTGTCGCTCACGTGTCGCTAAAGCGACATCCTCCTCGCTTGAGCGCTGGGCGAGCAACGAAGTTGGACAAATTTTCAGCCAATTTTCTATTTTTCCTTCCAACTTTAGATTGTAATTTCTCATTAACCTAGAATTAGTTTGAAATTTTCAAATATATCACGATGATCTAATCGACGAGTAGAACAAGTTAGCTTATTTATTTTTATAATTTGACTATCGAATCAAGTCTGAATATTTGATTGAAACTGACACAAAAGTCACTTACTACATACCCTTTCAATGAAGTATCAATGTGTTTTGGAGGAGAATGCTCCATCTATTTAATTTATAGGGCCTTTCATTTGAGAATACATATCATCGAACCACTCATTTCAGTTATAAATCAATGAAAAAACATAAATTTCGGAATTAAACTGCTCGATTGAGTTTTAGATGGATAAAATTTTGCTCAAAAATCATGAAATCAGGCTGTTGGTTTGAGTTTTAAATGGATCCGATTGTTTATTTGAATTTTTAATTAGAAATATTATTAAGTTTTTGGATTCCGTACTAAAAAATAAAATTTGTCAAGAGAAGCACAACCATCAATATATATACTCCTAAATTGACCATTATTATAAAGAAAAAATATATATTATTTGAACCTTCTTGCAGACTATTGATTAAAGTTCGACAGGAAACCCACTCATTTTTGCATTGAGATTGAGATTGAGATAATTCATAATTATAAAGACTAAACATAAAAAATAGGGTTGATCATGAATTGTCAATGATTAAACCATATGCAGCCATTTCATTGGAAAGGCTGATTAAACCATGTGCAATATTGAAACTTGTCGATGCATCAAATGGATTGAAGCAACAAAGAATTATTCATATATTTGAATTCAAATTTGGTCATCATTTTTGTAATTAATGAATTTTGAAAATAATTACAACACTTAATTTAAGCTTATTTTAATGATCAAGACCTATTAAAATCTTAATTGGAGTTTGTTTGGACGTAGGTACACGAATTTTAATAGATTTAAACATGTAAGATTAGCTAAAACAAAGCATTCTGCTTATTTGTCAAATTCATTTGTAGGAAGAATGATCCCTTTAAATTTATCGAAAACATAGTTTAATTTGTCATTTATCATAGTGTAAAATGTAAATAATTTACTGTTTTTTTCTTTTCTTTTCTTTTCTTTTGAGCTTATTTGCTTACTATTATTTCTATTAAATCATAGTGTATTATAACGAATACAAGAACATCATACCATGTATGCTATGACACTAGTGTCTACCACGACAAGAAACCATCTTCGATAAAATTATAGTCTCATCATATCAATCGTTTAAAATTTAACACTATATCAAGCAATAGTTATCTTTTAAAATGATTGAAAATACTATTTAATTTATCATTATAATGTATCATATTGTTATATTTCAACGAGTTTATTATATATCGTTATTTCTATTTAATCATTGGTGTATAATAATTAAGAAATGGTGTATGTTACTTATCTTGGCAGAAATAAAAATTATATTAACTACCATCTATTCTCCCTCAAATTAGAGAGTTGGGGAAAAGTAAACACGACATCGTCATATTATCCAGTTATACTTAAAAACAATTAAAGAAAATATAAGTTAGTATTTTTCTCATTTCTAATTTTGTACACATTCTTTCTCGTTTTCCTTCATAAACAAAGTTGGAATATCAATCATTCCTATTTGTTTGTTTATCAACTTCAATCTTTTGTTAATCAAAGATAAACAATGCAGATATCATATGATACATGTCCTTGCAATTTAATGAATCTAACTCATCTCAAGATCGACCATTATTGAAGTGAAATTTAGGTAAGCTTCCAAAGCTCCTATATTCAGTTGGTGCGCATGAGCTTGTTAGAATTTTACGAAACTTTAAATCTCAAAAACTTTAAAATATGATTGCTTTATTACCAAGATCATTGATGTCAAATCACCAAGAGAATTATAAAGTTCGGGACATAGCTTAATTCATTGGGAATAATTCTTTAGTACCGAATCTTGATTCTGGATCTTGATTATGACTTCTTGCTCCATAATCTTGATTTTATTGTTCTTCAATATGATTGTTAAAATCATTCTTCTTGATTGTTGATTAGTTGATCTTGATTCTTGATTGTGATTCTTAACTCTTGATTTTCTTATTCAATATACTTTCTCTCTGACTTCTTGTGTTGATGGGGTGACAAAAAAAATGAGAAATTTCATATGAATTAGGAACCATAACCTTATATATGGTTTCCATATGTATTTGACCCATCATTAAATACAACCCTAAGTATTTGTTTGGGAGTTTTGACGTACCCGTTATGAGCTTTTTTGAAAGTACTGCTTTGAGCATTTGTGAGCGAACCGATTATGAGTGATTTTAGTAGTGATTTTTAAAACAATCTAACTCATGCTTGAAAATTTATTATTTACCGGTTTTGAAAGTTTTTTTTTTTAAAAAGTAAAGTTATATATATGTCCCTTAGTGAAATTTTGAGTTTATAATTTTCTTTTATGAAATTTTTTACTATTTTACCTATATGCAATTTTTTTACATGTACGTTAATATGTAACTTTTAAATATTTACTTAAAATTTTATGGTAGTATTTTTTAGTTATATATAAACTTATAATTATAAGTTAATTTTGTACTTTTAAATAATTTTTACGTATAAGCGAATTTTTTTTACTTATAAGTAACTTTATATATTTTATAAGTGATTTTTTGTCTTATTAGTAAGATTTTTACACAAAAATAATTTTTATCTTATTTTACTTATAAGTAATTTTTATAATTGAATAATTTTTAATTATAATAAAATTGTTTTGCTTATAAATAACTTTTTAGTTAGTATATTTTTATTTATAAGTTAGTATTAACAAAATATGTTTGTTGGAAATAATTATTTTGACTCGTCTAATAACAGTCAACAATAATGGCTAATTTTTTAATTTTAATCCGATTTTAATATCTATCAAACAAACTCTTTATAAAGGGTAAAATCAGAAGAGAATTTGAGAAACGGCAAAAAATCTCAGATTTGGAGGGTTGAGAGAACATGTCAAAATTATACTACATTGGTTTTAGGCGACTTTTGAACAATCTAAAATCGGTGTCCAAAAAATCTAGCAAGCATCAATTATTCCAACCCCCATAAACACTGTCACCCAAAATCGATCAAAATCGGTGAAAATAAAACTCCCAAGCAAACTCTAATGAATCTGGTCTCTATACATATAATTCAGCATATACTTTTTTAGATATTCAAAGTCCAATTATTTAATTATTTATTAGATTTCTTTAATTTGGGGCTTAATTTTAAGATAGCATTTACACACAATTAATTACATATGTTGGTACACATGACAAATTAAATATTTTTCCAACAATCTCGCACTTCGACCACATATACTCCTTATAAATGTGTATAATGAGCTCAATACTTTTGCTAACATAACTAATAGCATCTCTGAATAATCTTATCCATCAATTATGTTAATATAAGGTTAAAGCAATTTTCTGACACATGGTTTTTCGGTTGAACCATATATATCGTCACATCAATGTCATCATTGAGAAACGTCATCTTTACATCCATCTAAAGTAGCTCAAGATCAAAAATGTGTCACAAGTGCCAATATAATTCTGAAAGAGCATTTCGTTGAAATTGAAGATAAAATCTCTTTGTAATCAATGCCTCCACTTTAAGTAAAACACTTTACAATAAAACGAGTCTTATATTTTTTCACATTACACTTAAATTCCCTCTTAGTTTTAAATATCAACTTGCAATCAATGAGTTTCTTACCTTCAGGCAATGGGGCAAGTACCCAAACATCACTGTCTTTCATAGACTTTGTTCCTCATTCTTGGCATCAATCCACTTTTGAAAATTATTCATTTGTATTAATTAATGAAAGTTGATAGGATCTTCTTCCATCAATTCAATACCATCCTCATATTCTTGGAGAAATACTATAAAGTTATCCAAAATTGCATTTCTCCTTTCTCTAGTGGATCTCCTTAATGGCGTTGGTTCTTGAGGTTATTGAGATTATTCTTCTGGAACAGCTTCTTGATTGTTTATAGGTGGATTTGAAATATTGTCTTAATCTGGAATTACTTTTTGAACAAGATCTGGAGCAAAAAATTGTTACTAATCCTGATCATGTTAATTGCAATAGGAGAGATATATACATATCCTTCCTCAAGTACAAAATCTCTATCCTTAAAACATTATTTCCCCAGCAAACTCTACATTCTCAATGAATCCGACATTTCCTATTTTAAAAATTGACCTAATAGTGAGATCTTTAAAAAGTTCATTATCCCTTAACAGTTGTTTTACTTGGAAATTTATAGAGAATTTAAGCTATAGTTTCTAGTGCTTCTTTCTAGAGAGATTCTAGTAAGGTGAAATGACTAGTCATACTCCTTATAATATCCTTAAGTGTTTTGTTTCGTCTCTTAGTAATAATATTCATGCTATGGGGCCCTAACATGGTGTACTGTGGGACGATTCTATATTTCTTTAAAAAATTTAGCAAAAGACCCTGGACATTGTTCTCCTGATCCGTCGTATCTGCCATAATATTAACCACGACGACTAGATCTGACATATTTTATTCTTTATTGAATTGATTTTCAACCTTAGCCTTGTATGCCTTGAACATGTTCAGTGTTTAAGATTTCTCATAGACGAGATATAGGTAGTCATAGTGAAATTTATCTATAAACATAATAAACTGCTGTTGACTATTTTAAGAAGCTAAAGAAAATGACCTACAGATATCTGTATAAATTAGTTTTACGATGTCCGAAGTCCTATTGTCACCTAATTTCCTTATATTTGTTTGTTTTCCCTTAATGTACTTAATACAAACACATAAGTTTGAAAAATTAAAGGGATCAAGAATTCCTTCCAATACAAGATTTTCCATTTTCTTTTGAGAGATGTCATAATGAAACATAATTCTCATTAGTTAATTTATGTTC